TGTGTGTGTCAGATCTCCTGTGAGCTGCCATGTGGGTGCTGTGAATTGAACCTGGGTCCTCTGGAAGCGCAGACAGTGCTCTTAATTGCTGAGTCATTTATCTGACCCCTAATCCAGCTATTTTTAAAGTGACTTTTGAAAGCAATTCAGCAGGTTAACTTGGGATTTTAGGGAAAGGGCTGCAGTGCTGTAAAAGCAAACTTAAAATCAGTCTCTCTGTGATGGTTAGTCATGGTGATCAACGTAACAAGATTTAGAGTCACTTAGGAAATTTCGTCAGGACATATTGATGATGATATACAAGGAGGAGTCAATGAGTGGAGGAAAGACTTACCCTCAAAGTGGGCAGCGCTTTCCAGACATAAAGGTCTGGGGAAAAGCAATGTACACTTGTCTGTCCGTGTTGCTAGTTTCTGAACAAGTTATGCCTACTTCTGCTGTTGCCACCCCAACTGATATCAGACTCAAAATTCTTTCAAGGTAAACTCAATATCAATGACTCCCCAGGAATCATTACATCTTCAGAACCAAATTGAGACTATTGAGGAATCCTGCTTTCTGGGCTAAGCAATTGCTGGGTTCTCTTGTTCTCTACAGATGGCCAATGTTGAATTATCTAGCGCCTGTCATAAACCAATCTAATAAATCCCCAAAACATACATATGTGTTTGTGTTTGTGCATGTGTGCATTATACCACATAGACACATACACACACACACACACACACACACACACACACACACACACACACACACACACACACTGGGTTCTGCTCCACTAGAGAACACTACTTAATGGCTTAAGATATGTTGAGATCTTCACTGACTTGGTTGAGCCTAAACTGATGTGAGTTAAGATTATTGAGGCTTATAAACAAGTCAGCTTGGAAGCATGCCAATAAAAGCTCCCTGATTACTACACACTGATACTTCAGATGGTGGATGGAAAACTAGCAGGCAGGATTTGGCACTAGACATTAGTTTTATGAATCATAATTTGTCACAGGCTTCAACTTACATCTGGAAGAATATATCGGAGGGAATATTCAAGAGGGTGTTGATGAATTCACAGGACTTAAATTAAAATGTATGTGTTGATACAATTCATATGGACAACTCGGGGAAAATATTGGTAGCTCTTCAGCCTTGCAACATTGTCACATTGTGTCATTAAATGTCACAGAGGATTCTTCTTCACCCATTTGCAGAAATACTTCTCCAGTGCTAATGAGGCATCAGCCTCCTAGGGATGCAAAGATAAACGAGACATGGTGCTCTTCTTCAAGTAACTTACTCTGACAAGGAAAGAAATCATGGGTGGTCGGGAAAAAAAGCAAAAACAAAAATCAACACAGAATTCATAGACAAAATTAAAGTGTTTTGGGTTCAGTTATAATATGAGTGGGGTTGTCACTTCAAGATAGAAACATAAATATCTATAAACACCTGGAGTTTGGCAGCAAAAAGACTCTAAGCAGACACCAAGCTATCAAAGTCCCTGCCACTTTCTATTTTTAATTCCAGACACAATAGAGAATGATTCGATGGTTCCTTTTGGTCTTTGATCCTGAAGTTGCAAAGGGAATGTCTATTCCAATAAACTGCTACATACCAATGGGCAGATTCCTGACTTAATTAAATGTATATCTTGAGAAGCTAACTGCATGTAATATGCACAAAAAGGACTTGGTATGTGTTTCTTTTTTAATAAATAAATAAATAAATAAATAAATAAATAAGTGTCTCTACTGTTTGATAGACCTGTAGTTTGAATGTGTTTGCAAAATGTAACTCTAAAACTAGTGTTAGGAAATTTAACTAAATAACTAAAAGGTATTACTTTAGCTACATTGAGTGACAAAACATAATGGAATAAAAAGGTTTGCCCACGTGGTTAGTAATCCCCTATACTGAGCACACGAACAAACAAACAGAAACAGAAGTGTGTCCCTCAAATGAGACAAAGTTCTACCCACAGCCAAGAAGCTAATCACAATTAACAGCAGCTGGGGGAGGGAGAATCAAGTTTTTTCAATAGAATGACTCTGCGTATATCTACCAGATGTAGGGTAGACTTATGTCAGGAGTAGCTGGCCAACAAAAAATGGAACCCTTCTTCTTTTTAAATTTGAACTGTTTTCTGATTTGCTTTTGTTGTTGTATTTTTGTTTTAATTTCTTTTTTAAGAGAGATAAAGAACATGAAGTTGAGTGGGTAGGGAGAAGAGGGGATCTGGGAGGGGTCCAGAGAAGAGAAAGAATATGACGAAGATATTTTGTAAGAATATTTTTTTTTGAAAAGAAAAAAAAGTGTTTCCCTTAGGAGATGATACTGGGCATAATTTTGTAGAATTAGTAAAATGTAGCTAGGTAAGATAGGTGAGAGCCAGAATTGTTCTAGACATAGAACAATGGGAACATTGTGTGTGTGTGTGTGTAATATATTGAACATACATGTTGACCTAAACAGTGATCAAATATCTGGCATCATATCTATCTGGCTTCTTCAGAATCAGAAGCAGTGACAAAGATCCGAGTACAGTTATTGATGAGGGAATTCAGAGAGTGTGGTAGTGTAGAAAGTAGTGAGGAAAGGTGGGCAGAAAACACAAGTCATTTTACCACTCTGCCTATTACCACTGTGGGTAAACCCAGCTCACTCCCCTGGGGAATCCCTGGAGGCGATGCAGAATACAGATCTCCATTTTATCTGCTTAAAAGGAATTGGAGAAGGCATTTGTTCATTCATGTTTTCATATTTACCTTAACTGATTATTTAAAAATATGATAAAAATTACAAAAAAAATAGTTGGCTCGCAATATGGGGGAATATATTTAAAAGCTTTAGATATCAAGTTTATAAAATACAACAGCACAGAAACTACATACCACTTGGTATTCCTCAGCTGAGGACAGCATCGAAAGAAAGAACTCAAGCTGGAGGATGTCGGTCTTCCCACGGTGGTGAAGCCTTAGGTTTGGCTTGGGGTGCAGACAACACTGAGAGAGCATCCAGCAGACAGAGGAGGCACGCTCTAATAGGAAGGAGTGAATACTGAGGCTTTTATTTTAAACAAACGACTTGAGGTTTATTCTGAACATTAGAATTTTTTTTTTCTGAAAGAGGTAAGGGAAATAGTTTGGGCTTTCTTTGTAAAGCCTATTCCTGTCAATTTGGAAGCTGAACCGCAAGGGTTGAGGTTAGGTGTAGGCGGCTCTAATTTAGGAGCTGTGCTTCTCACAAAAGTCATGCTGTTTTCCACAATAGCTTTGCATTGGTGTGAGGGGAAAAAGAAGCAGAACCCTCATCAGAGAGCTTCTTTCTGCAGTAGCCGGTGATCTAAACCGAGATCCCCACTGGCCAGAGTGCAGAGAATAAAAACTGAAATGTTCAGACCTCAATGGGATATCTGTACCACATCCCTTCTTCTCAAGACTCATCACAAAAGGGGGTTGTAAGAGTCCGAGGTTTGGGAGGACTGGGGGAATGTGTTAGGTTTATTTCACACAGGAACTCACAAGGCTATGGCTGAATGCACAAGGCCTGTATAAGATTGAGCCAACCAAAGTTCGGGGTGGGGAGGGACCCACACTGTCCCACACATAGCAGAGGAGCTATTGATAGTTGATGCCTGCTGTAACGAAGAACACATTAAATCCAACCTGCTTGGTCCACTGAGCGTTACTTGTATGTTTATGATTTCAGGCTGATCACCTGGGAGTTGTCACTTTGCCACAGCCTAGAGAATCATCTGAAAAGAGAACCTCAATGGAGGCGTTGTCTTGCTCAGTCTAGATGGTGGGCATGTTTGTGGAGAGTTGTCTTGGCTGTTAACTGGTTAACAATCTGGTGATGGAAGGCCCACTGTGGGCAGTACTAGTCTCTGGGTAGTGGGGGAGACTGAGAAACCAAGCAAGGAGGCATGCTTTATTCTCTCCCTGTTTTTGACTATGGATATGATTCTTTATGTTCCTGCCTTGACTTCCTGGCAATAATGAATTGTAACCTGGAATGGCAAGACAAATAATCTCTCCCTGATGTTGTTTTTTGTTTGTTTGTTTGTTTTATTGGTTTTTTTTGGGGGGGGAAGGTCAGAGAATTTGTTGCATGAATAAAAAAGAAACTAAGACAGACTTGCCTGTATACTATCTGACATGTAACTATCTTGAGCATCCCTCCGCTTACTCCTTACATTGCCCAGGATATGAGGACATGAACAGATAGCTACTTTTAGCTCATACTATTTCAATGTCATTTGAAATTTGATTAAAGTTACACAAGGAATAAATACAGTCAGAATTCCTTTACAGTAGTTGAGGCTAGTCTATTTGTCGTCTCCTGATCCTAGATCTTCGGATTGTTTTTTTTTTTTTTTAATTTCTTTACTCTCTACATAGTATAATAGTTTGCTTCAGTTGAATAGAGAATTAGCTTCTGCTGCTTACTACCAGAGAATTCTAATGATATGTAGCACTGAGATTCTAGAAATTGCAAGAAAAGAAAACAGGAAATAACACTGAAGTATGCCAAGTGGCAGACATATTAAAGCCTGTGTGCTCTACCAGAGATGAGTTGTGTATTGTTTTAATCTATAGATGTGAGTCTACGGTTCGTGGCTTTAACATTTACGAAGCACAAAGATGTCTTAAGAATTACGTTGTTGTGTATTTTCAGAGATTGCTCCCAAAGGTTCCAATCTGGACTGGCTTTCTTTGCCCAGCAGTTCACATAGTTTAAAAGCTTCCCAGATGATTCTTAGCCCAAGTTTTTGGAAACATTCTTTTCAATCCTGCTGTATACAAAAATGGCAATTAATCAAGTCTGTAAGCACAGCAAAATCTGCCTGCCCCCTGCTATTTTGCTGAACAGTGCCAAACTTTCAGTACAGTCACTGTTTGATGAAGCTGTAGCTTTGCCAGTGACCATGGTGACCTAGTGAGTCAGTGTGTGAGATGTATTTACACATAACAAAACAGCAAAGATGAGTGTCACTTTTTTATTTTGTTGAGCACGAGCCAAGGGAATTATAAATAGGAATATTTAGCATTTAAAACACAGAAACTGTCGACACTATTGCATCATTCCAACTTCCATAATTTACATAAAAGGAGCTTCCTAAAGACACAGGTATAATTTTATTTTCTATGTGTCTTTACAAACACTTATATTCATTCAAAATATCACTATCTACATGAGGCTATCTCTAACACAAGAGATGAAAATTCATGATGATATTGTATTCCTTAAAACTAAGGTGGAGCCAGATGTGGTAGTACCCACCTTTAATCCGAGCCAACAACATGAAGAAGTGGCAAGCATATCTTTGAGTTGGGAATTCAATGCCTTCTTCTGGCCTCTATGGGCACCAAGCATGCATGTATGTACATACATGAAGGCAAAAATACTAATACATACATTTTTTAAAGAATGGAATGCAGACTTTTAAATAGGAATATATAAAGAAGAGCTTTAAAGAGTGATTTAAAATTAGTAAGGGACAGGGATATGAGCTCAGAAGTCTCTGCAACCACGTGCCTGCCATTTCCAGGCACTGGGATCCCACTAAAAAATATATTAAATGGCAACACAAAGAATGGGATGCAGAAAACTGAACTGATTTTTTTTTTTACCAGGGATGTGGTTCACTTTAGAATGTTTACCTAGCATGTGCAAGGCCCTAAGCTCAAGTCCCAATGATGTAAAGCAAAAGCAGAAAAAAGAGTTTATTGCAAGTCATGAACAATGGACAATGGCCCAAAGGACTATGGTTCCATCAACACTTAGGCTGACTTTATTCTATTTCCTCAGTCTCTGGAAGAAGAAGCTTTTCTCGTGTCATTTTTCATATACAGGTAATTGAGGGGCCTGTTTGCTCTCTCTGGAGGAAGCAATGGTATACTTTATTTTTTTTTTTTAACCATGAAACCTCACCTGATCACTACTTACGAGGTTTAGAATTCATACATCATACAACCAGATAGTTGTCTATGAACAACTTTTCAAACAGTCTAAGATGTCATATTTTGTCCAAAGGCAGGAAACAGTACGAGGACCCCCTTCTTCTGAGCTGTAATTAGGGTTCCACATCTCCAGTCCTTGGTGTCATAAGCTGAACATCATGAGGCAGGGATCCAGTATCAACATCCTCCAAGCCGGCTCATCTCTAACTCGATACCCACAAATACTAGTGAAGCAGACACGAGACTCTGTCTTCCTGCTATCTTCTTGCACATGACAGGCTCGGGGTTCACAGGAAGAAGAGAACACACTGGAGAAGCCAATCTGAAACACAGGCTAGCATTAATAAATTAGTCACGGACTTGAAGCTGTAACTTTCCTTTCTCACACATGGGTTCACAGGGCAGGAAGGCTTTACAGAAATGGTACGAAGTAAACCCAGCACTGTTTATTAGAAGTCTCTTCAAAGCTGTTCCGTGCCACGTTACTGAAACATGTGACAGTCACAAGAACTGTATGTTGTAACATTTTTCAGACATCCCCTTTCTGAAGTAGAAATAGGTCTAGGTTAGAGGGGAATTGACACCCCTAAACTCCTCTGCAGCACTTGGCCTGCTTTGGGATGGGACATTAGTTCATCTCTTAACCCTTTTGATTAATGATCTGTAATAGTAGAGGCGTTTTCTGTTGTTTCCTTTCTTAGCACCAGGAGAGCACAAAGAATTCATTCGAGTCAGTACAATTCAACAATTACGTACTTTGTTTGGGGTTTAATTTTGTCTTTTATTGTTTGTATTTATTTGTTTATTTATGTCAATTGACACAGAAAAGTTGGATATACTAATGGGGTCCTGAGACCTCTAAGAAGCCGTTTTGACTAAAATGCACTTGCGTCTCTCCCTTTGGATATCACACTGCCATATTTTCCACATTCAAAATCAATGCATTTCACAAAACTGAGTAAGTCTACATCCTGTAGAGGGCTTTTAAAGTAAAGACAGGAAAGACTTGGAACTCTCCGTCTATCAGAAAGATGGAGTTACCAACAAAGAACTTCATCTGCCAGACCTGGAGTTGGAGTGGATTCTCCATCCCCGAAAAAAGTTCTCTTTTTTCCCCAGTCTTAAATCAAACTATCTGGAGACAACAGGTCTCAGGTTTGCTCCCCCCCAACAAAGGGCTAATTAGACTGTTAGGGAAATTCCATGTCTCTAATTGCTTCCTGGCTTTCTATAGGTGGTTATATGACCACAGGGACAGTGAAGAGGGAATTAAAACCATTCCCCAGAGCAACACTGTAAATAGATCCATATCCTTTGTTTTCTGTATCATAATTTGATTTCATACAGTTGAGACACAGTGGATCTGTGCAATGAACTTAACGGCTCTAAATGTCCAGTACCAGTATAGTGACATATTTCAATGCACAACATCTTAAAACTGGGAATTTTTTATTATGATGGGAATGCTTACCATTGCTTTGTGGTAAAGCATTCAAATATCCTTTCTTCCCTTTGTCTTGTTTGCAGTAACAGTGCATTGGACCAAGGTTCCAAACTGCTCCTGAGACCAGGCTATGTAGCAGGGCTGGATTCCCTGCATGGAAGTCTTAAGTGAACGTTTTGTGAAGCTGTGAAGGTGAAGCTTAAGTTGCAGTAGAAACCCCAGAAGATTCCAGAAGCATGGGACATCCTGTAAGAAAAGCTACAAATGCTGAGTGGATCTCAACCAAGACAGAGGCTATATGCACCTCAGTCAACAGAACAGCAGCCCCTGGTGCCAAGCCAACACCACTGAGAACTCTAAGTTCCAACACAGAACTTGAGAGTTTTCAGTTTGTTCTGATCTGATATTTCCTTGCTATAACCCCAATTCTCTCTCTTTTGGATAAGAATATATATTCTGAATCATTGCATAAGGGAAGTCTGTAAATTCCTTTGGATTTTATAGAGGCTAGCTGTTAAACAGTTTGCCTTGAATCTCAGAAGAGACTTTGGACTTTTGAACGGTGTTAGGACTTCTAAAGTTGAACTCAACGCCTTCTGCTTTATGGCACGGCCATGAGCCCAAGGGAACCAAGGGTGGAATATTATAGTTTAAGACGATTACTCGGGTGTCACGTTGACAAGAGGTGGATTTACGATTATAAATCACAATGATCAACTTGACTGGAACAAACACTGAGGGCATTAATGGGTCACACTTCTGGGTGTGCCTGTGATGGTGTTCTCACGTTAACTGAGGAGCGAAGGCTCTGTGGAATGTAGGTAGCAATCATCCTACAGGCTGAGTTCCAGCCCTGAGTAAAAGTGGTGGAGGAGGTGAGGAGAAAGGGAAAATCTAGCTGAGCACTTGAATTCTATTTTCTCATGTCTGCGGTAACATCATGAATCATGGCTTCCCTGCAGTGAAGGACTGTATCCCTTGGAACTGTAGGACAATAAAAACTCTTCCCTTAAATTGCTTTCTCTTTAGCATTTGGTCATAGAGGAGGATTGGAAATGTAATATCTTAACTTCTACTCCTAGGCTGTTTACACCAAATGATGCTGCCAGATGGGTAGGATGAGCCATAAATAAGAAATTCTATTTTTCAGACTTCCAGTGCTGCCTTTAGTCCTTCGGGGCACAGAAAACTGGGTTATAACAAGTCTCCAAGTATATATGT